AGAGGAGAGCCCAGAAGCAGAATGATTTGCAGTTGATTCTAAGAGACTTTAACAAAGAGATGAGGCCCACCTCCTCATGTTGTTCCATGAAATGAAAAAGAAGGAAACACCGAAAATATCCTTCTGTGAAGCCAGTAACACCTGGATACCAAAACCAGACATAGAGACATCCAGAGAGAAGACTTCAGACCAACATCACTGGTGAACAGAGATAAGAGACTCCTTAATAAAATATTGGCACCCTGCACTCAAGGACACACGAGAAGGTGGGGACCATGATCAGTGGGTTTCTCCACAGGGTCAGGAGGTTGGCTCAACATGCAGATCAATAATGTCATATCCATCTGTGATTCACCACATGAATAGAGGTGGGGACAAGAGTCACACCATCACATCAACAGAGGCAGAAAAATAATTTCACAGAGTCCAGTACCTCATCATTTTTAAAAGACTGGAGCAACTAGAGGTACAAGGTCCTTTCCTCAACCTCATCACGGCTACATGTGACAAACCCAAGGTCACTACCATACTAAATGGAGAGGACCTAAAACAGTTCCTCCAAGCTGAGGACAGGACAAGGATGTCCACTCTCCCACTCTGATTCTGTGGGCTCCCTGCACTGCACACATTGACACAGGAGCATTGTCACATGAACAACATGCAAAGCAGCATTATTGAGGCTCAAGTGACTACTCTGTGGTCACCAGGGACAGAGGTGAGGAAGCTCAGAGGACCCTGGGGAGTCTTTTCCATCAACTTAGAGACATTTCAGGGGGATTCACTGATTAGGACCACCCTCAGGATTCTGTGTAGAGCAAACACCGAGATAGTTCGGGGTTCATACCATGGACACCTGGTGAACCTCAGGCTCATGGTCCTCCTGGATCCCAAGGATTCCCTGAGACTCAGCACTGTCCTCTGGCACTTTTGCTGCTTGTAAATAGAAGGTGAGGGGCTGAGGATCAGGTGAGGTTCCTGCAAGGGGACAGGTAGCCCATCTGGGTCACCACAGCAGCTGAGCACTAGTGAGTGGCAGGGGAACCTCTGACCAGCCTGCTCACTAGGCCTGTCCTTGCCAAAGTCTGCCCACCCCAGACCTGGCACCTGAGAACAGGAGCCTGACTTCCCATGTCCTGACTGAGACTCCAGGTGGCCCTGCACCTGAATTGTCAACAGCAGCCCACTGTGGGGCAGAGAGGAGGCCTCATGACATCCAGGGAGCAAGTGTGACGAATCTTGTGCCAGGAGCTGCTGAGAGGGTGACTCAGATGTCCTCTATTGCTACCGTGCTGGGCTCTGGCTTAGAAAACAGCCACCACCATGACCAGCACAGCCAAGAGCTCTCTGCTGTGGAAGCCCTCACCAGGGCAATCAGGACACAGTCTAGGGGACTCCAGACCCCAGGGGCCATTAGAGTTAGAGTCAAGTTCTCTCCTTGGTCCTGTGGCCATAGCCTCCCTCCTAATCAATCCTCCTGAACCAATTTGCTGTTTCTATTTGTACAACTGCCAGGGAAGTGAACAGGACCTACCTGCTTCCACACTCAAATGGAGGCCAGACGTAGGGCACACATGGCCCCCTCCATGTCAATACATCAGAAGGACAGAGGGTAACAGGTCCCCCAAGTAGAGCCAGCAGGGACCCCATCACTTGTCCATGTTGACGAGGGTCATCCTCCTTCCTGGTCTCCTCCTTCCTGGTCATCCTCAGCACTTGGAAGAGGCCCAGGCCCTCACCATGACCTCTGGCCCATGAAGCAGGAGCAGGGCTGCTGGCCCCACAGCTGTGGCTGTGTCCTCTGACTCTCTCCTGTGGTATTTATAACTGTGGGTGCACTGTAGGGATACAGAGCACTGGAGTTGGTTTCCATAGTGATTCAGACCTGGATCAGGACCCCATTTCTGTGGGAAGCCCTTCCCCTTCCTGCCTTCTCCCTCCCTGTTCCCCTCCTGGGCTCTGTGGTCTTTCTTCTATGTGTTGCACATGTCTGAGTTGGAGGTTCAGGGATGTTCATGAAGGTGGAGTTCACTGTGCTCCTTCACATCAGCTCACAGCATAGATGGTGAGTTCCCTTCTGCTCTCCTCCCTTCACCCCTCTGCCCACCCGCAGGCCCTTCCTGGATCCACTGATCTCCTTCTCTGTTCACATCACCCTCCTCTCCTCTCCCTCTTCCCCAGCTTCCTCAATTGGGAGAGAAGACTGGCCCTTGGCTTCTGCGTCTGGCCTCCATCATCAGCTTCAGGGTCCCAGTTCCACCTGTTTCCCAGCAAATGATGTCATTCCATTGTCTTCCTGGCTGAAGACCCACTGTGCACAGACTCCAAGCTTTCTTCATCTACACCAGCCCCTGTAGGGTGCAGCCCATCAGAGCTTCTGCTGGAAAGTTGACCATTTCATCTTCTTCATGAAGAGCCAGTGTTGCTTCTCTCCTGCGAAGCTCCTTCAAGTCCTTGTTTTCCCATGAGATCTTGGGCCCAGGAGATGCCAGCCCTGGCAGTTGTCCACAGACCTTCCCTGGACAAGGGCATAACCACCTGGGCACTGCTAGGATGGTTCAGGGGATTCCTAGACAACTGCCCAATCCCTGCAAGTTACTCCATCCCCATGTTGAACCTGTCCGCAGGGGATACTATCTACCTGTTCCTCCATCCCCATGGTGGCCCAGACCCCAGGGGACAACATCTGACAGGTTCCTCCATCCACATGCTCTCCCTGTCCCCAGTTGATTCTGTGTGACCTGTTACCCCTCCCCGTGCTCACTCTATCTCAAGTGGATGATATATAACATATTGCTGCCTCTGCATGTAAAATCTGTGCACAGGGCTTTTTATCAGGGCTGTCACACCATCTGACACTTCATTGTCCCCAGTGGATAATATCTACCTGTTACTATATTACCCTGCTGCCCTGTCCCCAGTGGATAATATCTGACCTGTCCCTCCATCCCATGCTGGTTAGTCCCCAGTAAATGACATCTGACCTGTTACCCCATTCCCATGCTGGCCTGTACCACGTGGATGTTATCTGAACACTTACTCCTTCCCCACACAGGTCCTGTCCACAGTGGATACTATCTGGCCCCATAACCCATCTACACACTGGCTCTGTCCCTAGTGGTTAATATCTAATGTATTACCTGATCCCCAAGCTTGCCTTTCTACAGTGGTTAATCCCTGATCTGTTACAGCATCCCCACTTGTCCTGTCCTAGTGGATAATATCTGCATGTATAAAACTAACCCTACCTAATTCAGTTAGTGTGGCATTGGCTGTCCTTAATAATTCATATATTCCTCCGGTGAAGCTGTTTGCCCTTGACCTTGTCTTTCCTGGGTTTTGACTCATGATATGACCTGTGTATCTGTCCCTGCTCTGCTCAGGCTGCCTGCTGTTCCTAGGCTCACCTCGGTGGGGTGCACAGTTCTGGAAATGCATGCATCTGCTCCTGCATGTCCCCCTGTGGTCAGGGAAATACATACAGGTGGCGTCATGACCCGTTGAATTTCTTAAGCCTCAGAAACACCTGGTTGAGCAGATATTATGTCTTCTCATTCTCTCCCCACCCCCTGTGTCATCCATAACATAAATAATTCTTTGCTAAATGTTGGCTGAAGAGCCCCACAGGCTCCTTGTTCTTTCCACCTGAGGAGTGCATTCACAGCACCTTGGTCAGGTGTTTCTGGAGGAGCTGGGCCTCACAGTCCTGTGGGCTGCATGATACTGGGGCCACTCTAACAGGCTGGAAAACTGAGGTGCTGCTGGCAGAGCAGCAGAGGTACAGGGCTCATCTGTTCCCAAGGGCTGCCTAGGGTGGGCCCACCAGCAGGCTCAGGTCAGCAGTACAGCAGGCCCCATGACAGGAGAGGTGCCTGTCACGATCTAAGGAGGGCACACGGCAGGCATCACCTTGGACCAAGAATGAGATGCTCTCAGCACTCCAAGGCTGGCATTGAACCTCCACAGGAAATCTGGTAGTGCATACTCGAAACCTAAGGAGAGGAACCCACATGTCTTATTAGTGTGCTGTGGTCACTCAGATAGGCAGGAGGTCAATCCCTGAACCTCATCAGGAGGTCAGCAACTACACCTGCCCTCTCAGTGACCCCACCTCACTAAAGACAGTGTCCACTGTTCTCTCCAAATGCTGGGCTGTGGGCAAGGCAGGTCTCACTGCAGTAATGCTGCACAGGGAAGGGGACTGGGCCTCCTCCCTCACCCAGCCTGCCCTGCATGCCGTCCTGTCTGCTGTCAGCCTGGCTCTGCTGCTCTGGGGGACTCAGGGGCTCTCAGCCTCAGGCTGCAGCTGAGAGCTGCCTCTGCCCCCAGGACTCTCCACTGGCCCAGCACCTCCATCCTGTCCTCTCCTGGTGGAGACCAGAGGGCAGGAGAGGTGAGGGGAGGAGTCAGGGCAGATTCCCACCCACTGCTGTCCACAGGCATTGGCTGGACAGTCAGGACAACAAGCAGGGCACAGGGTGGGGAGGGCAGTGGGCACACAGCAGGAAGCCCCTCCCCTCCTGAGACCCTGTTCCCTCCTCTCCTGCTCAGTCTGTAGCCCCCAAATCTCACAGAGATGAAAGAGAAGAGCTAGTCCTGAGAACAAAGGGGGGCTCTTCTCCTGGATGTGGGGAACCCCATCCTCAGCCCTGGGCTCTGTTCAGTCATCACTGAGGGCTTCTCCTTCAGGGCTGGGAGGTGAACCTGGGCCTCTTGCATGCTGGGCACGTTCCTGCCACTCTGACACCCTCCCAGGTGCAGGGAGGAAGGGCTTGGAGGAGGCAGGGCTGGGCTCAGGAGGGTGGGCTCCCCCTCTGACAGCCTTCCAGCACCCCTGAAACCACCTGCTCTCCTCTCACAGGTAAAGCTCCACCTGGGTTCAAGACAGGGACACATCTCAGGAGCACAGAGGACCTGGGCAGCCTGACCTCAGCCTCTCCAGATATCAGAAGAGCCTCACCCACATGCAAATCCCTCCTCCTGCTCTGGGTTCAAAGGCCCTCTGGGCTGTGGGAGCTCCCAGCTCTCTGCTCACACAGGGCTGAAGTCTCTGGGAAGGCAGGTGTGGTCTAGAAGATGAGGCTGCTGGGTCTTGTCCTGTGCCTGGTCACAGCTCCCCAAGGTGAGTGTCCCCAGTGTCAGACCTGGGTCCATGGGGAGGTTGTGACTGCAGGTGACTAACAGGGTGTGACTGTCCTTGTCCTCAGGTGTCCTGTGCCAGGTGCAGCTGCAGGAGTCAGGACCTGGCCTGGTGAAGCCCTCGCAGACCCTGTCCCTCACCTGTGCTGTCTCTGGATTCTCCATCACAACCAGTTACTACTGCTGGGAGTGGATCCGTCAGCCCCCAGGACAGGGGCTGGAGTGGATAGGGGACATATGTTATAATGGTAACACTTACTACAGCCCATCCCTCAAGAGCCGAGTGTCCATCTCCAGAGACCCGTCCAAGAACCAGTTCTCCCTGCAGCTGAGCTCCCTGACCACTGAGGACACGGCCACCTATTACTGTGCCAGAGACACAGTGAGGGGACCTCAGTGTGAGCCCAGACACAAACCTCCTGCAGGGTGCCCAGGGCCAGCAGGGGGCGCCCAGCACACAGGAGCTTAGGTCAGCCCAGGAGCAGGTGCAGAGGAAGGAGTGAACTTGACCCCAGTCCTGAGCCTCCTCACCAAGCAGCTCCTCCTGAGAGCCCCAGCTATGGGGGTCCTAGAGAGGCCTCCTCCCCTTGGACACCCCTCATTTCTCTCCAGGTGAGGTGTGTCAGGATTGCTCCTCTTGAGCAGCGGCTGCACAGTCTCCTCTCTAGCTGAGGCTTTCTGTGCTATGATGGCACTGCTCAGGGCCATCACATGAGCTGTGTGGACACTTCATGGCTTGGGGAACTCCCTCCACTCTCAGAAGGGCCTGGATGTTCTGCTGCTCAGTGTCCCTCCCAATCCAGTGTTCCCTGTGACATTCCTGTGACTGATCTGTGCACTTGGCACATGTAGAGGTCATAGCCCACACTGTTTCTGAGCCATCCAGCCACAGGGGACCTTTGACAATGACAAGGCACAGTCTGTCTTCTCACAGGTTAATGAACAGACAGTCGTGCCACCATGTAGGTGATAGAGACCATGGATGCAGCTGATAGTGTAAAGCCACCGTCAGCAAGCACAACAAGGTTTCCTCTGTCCCCAAACATAAGCAGGACTGAGCTGAGGGATGCCGACAGGAAGCCCTAAACCTGGTCTAAATGCACAGAACGTGTGTATTCAGAGTGAACTTTGGTGTATGTGAGCTCTAACCCCATGATGAGGTTCTGTGACACCAAAATCCCAACCAATGGCCCCAAAGGACAGAGGTGCCCCCTCCTCATGCAGCTGTGTGGCCTGTGGACAGGGGTGACCTGAGGAAGGTCTTGGAGGGAAAGGGGCCCCCTTGGCACAGACTCAGATGGGAGGGTGGTCAGCTCTGCATGGACTGTGGCAGCTGCAGGTTGGCTCTGCCACTGGCCTCGGGACCCTGAGACATGCTGTGACCAGGACCACTCTGACCCCAACAAGGTTGGGAGCTGACTCTGAGCCTGAGAATCCCCAGGACACCTGGCTGCTGGGGGGAAGCAACCTGGAGCCTGGTTACTGCTGGAGCTGGATCCGTCAGCCCCCAGGAAAGTGGTTTCCAGCCACTGTGGCTGGACTTCAGGGTCACAGACAGTGACACCCTGGGCCCTGTTCCTGCTCACGTCAGTGCCCACCCAGTCCTAGAGCCCAGCTCCAGTCTGGGTGATGATGAGCATCATCAATGTTTACATCCCAGAGTGTCCTAAGCCTGTACTGGAACATGCCATGAAATAGAATCACTTTATGTATTTTCAAATTATGGTTTGAGAGCTAGAGCACTGATTTTATGTAAAACATTTATATTCCTAAGTTAAAGTTTTATGTTCTGTATCACCATAAGCCTCTTATATTTTTATTAATAAATCCAAGTTTTAATCACTTTTAATATTTTATTTGAGCATCATAATCATAGAAAATGGGTGCTTCATTATCACATGTTGGTAGAGGATAAACAGATGGTGAAGAGGAAATGCTTCTGTGTATTCTGTGTGTCTGACATTTCTGTATGTGGCTTATTCCTTTCAATTTATTATCTTTCTTTACACAAAATATAAATGCAATGATTTGCCTTTGTTTTTAAGTCCTTTGTAGCCTGGCAATTAACTCACTATAATCATAATTCTACACTTTTTTGTTTTTTAGCAAACAAAAATAATATTGCATTTTAATTAAGAGAGAATTTCCACAGTGGTGTAGTTTCTGTCTCTCAGGACTTGCTCTGGGGGTTCACTAGGCTTCTCCCTGAGCCCTGATAGTTGCTGGGAGAACTTTTAACATACATGACACCCCTCACTAGCACACAATTTGTATTTGGTTGCTTAAGTCTATTTTTATGAGTATAATATATTCACTTAGATACATAAACTAGACTTATGGATTTGACATTGGAATATATTTTGAAAAACATGAATAAGCAATGAGGTGTTGTATGTTGTGGTCTTTCTCATGTGAGGGTGCTTGATCACCAACATGACTAAGAATGTCAGCATCTCTCTCCATCAGACACAGAGTGGTGAATCCAGGTGTATTTTCATACTTACACTGAAACCTAGATCTAGTGAGGCAGAGGACAGCACCCTGACACAGGGGTGCCAGGTGCCATGATGGGTCCCAGGCTGTGCACACCCAGCTGTCCATCACCTGTCCCTCCTGGGTGTGGGGATCCCACCAGCTGCTCTGCCCCATTCACTGTGAAGCACAGCCTGGCTGTGGGCCACAGGTGCCCTGTGAGCTGCAGAGTCCCAGGACAAGGCCCTCTCTGCACGTGGCCCTCACCACCCACCCTCACCCTCTCTTCCCTGCACCTTCCCATCTCCAGGGGCCACTGTCCTCTCTCTTTCCAGGACCCAATGCAGGAGCTTCCCCACATGAGTGATGGTGTGGTGATGGTCTCCATCTGCCTGACTCATTTCAGCTAGGTCCATGTGCTCCAGAGCCATGTCCAGGGCCAGGAAGGACAGGATGCCATTATTTTTTGCTAAATTACATTCTTCCCCTCTATGGACAAAGTATTTTTGAAATATTCACTAAGGAACACAAGGTGATGATGAAAACTTCTTCAACACTCATGGGACTGGAGTTAAGGACAGGCCTCTTGGGCCCTATGTCTCATGAATTGGGCACATTGGGCAGAAGTCCTGTCCCCAAGCCTTGGGCTGTCCCTCCCCATGTCTCTGCTGGCCTCAGGCCATGCTGCATAGAATGGGGTCTCCTGCCTGCTGCCCTATAAGCTGGCCTTGTTCCTGGTGGACCTGCAGTGCTGAGGTCTTAGGAGGACTTACTCTCAGGATCCACTAGCCATTGCCCTAGGGGGCCTCTGTGTAGGGGCCACACCTAGGACAAAGCTGTGCCTGAGCCCCAGAGCTACCCAGGGCATCCTCTGCAGTCCAGGTGGAGGAAGACCTAACTCCACACTCTGGCACCCTGTGTGCCTGCAGAGTTAACCCCATGGGTGCTGCCAGGTTAGCTGCTGAGTGACTATCCATCACCCAGATCAGAGCCAGCACACACCAACCCTTTACCCAGTCCCAGGGCTGTGTCCACATCTTTAGATGCTCACTATGACCACCTCAGGCCCCAGCACCTGTGTGGCTGAGTCCAGTCTGTGCTGCTCTGAGTAACTCCTGAGGCTGAGGGTTCACAAGGACAGAGCTGTGCTGCAGCAGGTTCTGGAGACCAGGGTGCAAACACCCAGGTGCTGCTCCTGACCAGGGCTCCTGAGGCTGCAGCACCACATGGCAGGAGGCAGGAGGCAAAGAGAGGAGATGGGGCTGGACCTCTGAGTGGTGCTGGGGTCCCACTGGGGCTCAGGGTGCTGGGAAGGCTCTACCAGCCCTGGGGGAACCCAGGTGACCTGCTCCATTGTGTCAGCTATCCTCTCCATTCTGTCAACCCTCATGGACATGCTGAGGGTGACAGTGCAGCTGCATTGATGACAGGTGGCTGTGTTCCTGAAAGACACCAAGGCAGTTCTTCCAGAGAGAGACCCTGCTTCCCACAAGCCTACAGTGCCCAGGGGGGGGAATAGAGGCTGAGACCACAGAAGACAGATAGATAGATAGATATATAGAGAGAACCCTTAATAGATCTTATATAGATAGGTGGGAGATAGTAGTTTTTTGGTGGATGATAGATACACAGATAGAAGCTGAGAGTGAATGAGGATAAATTAAAATTGTGCTTTGACACAGCACCAAGTCCATGGGGATGTGGCCCCTCACAACAAAGGGCCTCCTCATATGTGGCCCCCTGTGGACTCAGCCCATGATAACTAAAAGTGAGGACACAGCCTGGGTTTCTCCCTGCCCCCACTTGCACCCTGTGCCCACCACAGATGGCAGCAGCATGTGAACCTGAGGGCTCTGTGCCAACTGGATGCTCCTGAGCTGAAGGAGGCCCTCACAGGGAGGCACAGCCTTCCCCCTGCAGGGAGCCTCTGAGGCCCTCAGCTGGACGCCTCCCTGGAGAGCAGGTGGCAGCAGAGGGGAGAAGACGCACAGCACATTTCCAATGCAGGACGGTTCTGAGGACGTCACCAGTGTGTGCACCTGGGAGCTGGAGGAGGGTCGGGGCAGCAGTCGTGTCCAGGGTGAGAGCAAAAGACCAGATAACCAGTCACTCTTGCCACACATGAGCTGTTGGACAGTGAACCATCACTCAGGCTTCTGTGTGAGTTTACATCTGTACCAGGGAGTTAGCACAGACACCTCCACCATATGATTATGTGTTTATATTAAATAAACTAAGATAGTGGGCTCTAAAATCAAATTAGAAGAAATTCTTCCCTCCTGAATGCTCCTCTGTCCACCATGCTGCCCATGACACTCCCATATGCCCTCAGAGCTGCTCTACCTGGGCCTCCACCCAGAGCTGCTATATAGCAGGAGCACATGCAAATAGGGCCTCCCTCTGCTCATGAAAACCAGCCCACCTGACCCTGCAGCTCTGCACAGGAGCCCAGCCCTGGACTCCCAGCTCAGCCCACTCAGTGATCAGGACTGAACACAGCTGCTCACCATGGAGAGTGTGCTCAGCTGGGTTTTCCTGATGGCTGTTTTCAAAGGTAATGAATGGAGAACCAGAGATCCTGAGTGTGTGAGTGGACAGGAGTGAGAGGAAGAGTGGATGAGTGACAGTGTCCTGACCAGGCTGTCTCTGTGTTTGCAGGTGTCCAGTGTGAGGTGCAGCTGGTGGAGTCTGGGGGAGGCCTGGTGCAGCCTGAGGGTTCCCTGAGATTCTCCTGTGCAGCCTCTGGATTCACCTTCAGTAGCTACTGGATGGAATATGTCTGCCAGGCCCCAGGGATGGGGCTGGAGTGGATCACAGTTATATGGTATGATTCAAGTCTGAAATACTATGCTGACTCTGTGAAGGGCCAATTCACCATCTCCAGAGACAATTCCAAGAACACACCGTTCCTTCAAATGAGCAGTCTGAAAGCAAAGGACACGGCCACCTATTACTGTGCTAGAGACACCGTGTGGAGACCTCAGTGTGAACCCAGACACAAACCTCCTGCAGGGCACCCAGGGCCAGCAGGGGATGCTCAGCACACAGGGAGCTCAGGTCACCCAGGAGCAGGAGGAGAGCAGAGGCAAGGGCTGGATTCCTTCATCTGGGGGCCTCTCATATTCCAGCTTCCCCAGGGATCTCTGTGGACTTGTGGTCTGTACCAATCCATGATGTCTCTGAAGATACAAATTCTTTTTTCAGGGTGTATTTTCCTGTTTTCATTCCTGCCTGGTACTTACACATAATATTGTGGTTCATTTTGACATAATCCACAATCCTACAGTGCAATTTTCTCCACTTTGTCTTCAGTACTTCCCCTTGCCCTTCCCTCTCCCTCCATGTGTTCCTTCCTCTATTAGCTGATCTTCCTTCTCTTTGTTTACACTTTTCTTTACTTTAGTGACAGGTATTTACATGGAATTTACTCTGGTGTGTTCATATCTGCAAATGGGGCATTTGGTCAATTTCCTTCCACCTTCTTCCTTTCCCTCCCTTCTCTATCACCCTCCATTCCCTTCCTCCACTGTTCTACCATCCACTCTATTTTGATGTCCCTCTGTCCCCTTATTTTATTGTACCTTCCACTTCTGAGAGAAAGCCTCAGCCCTTGACTCTCTGAGCCTGAGTTATTTCACTTCACATGATGTTCTCCAATTCCACCAATTTACCCAAAATACTCTCATTTAATTCCTCTTTATGGTGAGTAAAACCCCACTCTGTACATACCCCAGATTTTCTTTATCCATCCATCTGGTGACAGGCATCTAGGCTGGGTCCATCCCTTGGGTGCTGTGAGTTTCTGCTATAAACACTTGTGTGGCTGTGTCAATAGAGAATGCTTAGTTTACATCCTTAGGACTATAACAAAACGTGGAATACCTGGTCATGTGGTGGTGTCTTAGTCAGCTTTTTTGCTGCTGTGACTGAAAGGTCTGACCAGAACAACTTAGAGGAGGAAAGGTTGATTTGAGGGCTCACAGTGTCAGAGGTCTCAGTGCATGGACAGCAGGGTCCATTCCTCAGATCTCAAGGTGAGGATGAACATCATGGTGTAAGTCTGCGGAGGAGGGGAGTTGCTCACATGATGATCAGGAAGCAGAGAGAGACCCTCACCAGATACAAATATATACCCCAAGGCAACCCCCATGCCCCACCTCCTCCAGCCTCACCTGCCCACCTTCAGTCACCTTCTAGTTAATCCTTTACAGGGGATTAATTCACTGATGGGTTAAGTTCTCTTACCCAATCATTTCCACTCTAACACTTGTTGCATTCATACATGGGCTTTTGGGGGGACACCTCACATCCAAACCATAACATTCCACCCTTGGCCCCCAGAAGATCATGACCACCTCACAATTCCAAATACATTTAGTCCATTTCCAAGATTCCCCATAGTCTCAATAGTTCTAGCCCAGCCCCAAAGTTCAGGTCCAAAGTCTCCTCTGAGCCTCAAGGCAAACCAGCATTGTGAGCTCTAAAGATCAAAGCAATTTACAAGTATCCACTATATAAAGAGACAGAGTACACATCTCCATTCAGAAAAAACAGGGCACAGAAGGAAGTGTTGGGGCCAACACAAGACTGAAATCCAGCTGGGCAGCAAGTCCTGGAGCTCCACGTCCAGGATCTGGGGCACAAAGCATGGTGACGTTCTCTCCAAAGTGCTGCTGAAAGCCCAGTCCTTGTCCCAGAGGCCAATTCAAAAAGATGACATGGACATGAGAAAAAGGAAAAAGAAGGTTTACTGCTTTTCAGAAAAAAAAAATAAGTTTAAGCTGGGGTGGGGTGATCTCAGGGTACTTAAGAGTTTAGCTGTGTTGGGGTGATCTTTGGGTACTTAGGAGTTTAATCTGGGGTGGGGGTGATCTAAGGGTACTAAGGAGTTTAGCTGGGGTGGGGGGGATCTCAGGGTACTTAGGAGTTTAGGTGGGGTGGCAGTGATCTTAGGGTACATAGGATTTTAAGCTGGGTGGGGAGTATCTTAGGGTACTTAGGAGTTTAAGCTGGGGTGGGGTGATCTCAGAGTACTTAGGAGTTTAAGCTGGGGTGGGGGTGATCTTAGGGTACTTAGGAGTTAACCTGGAGTGGGGATGATCTTAGGATACTTAGGAGTTTAATCTGGGGTGGGGATGATTTCAGGGTACTTAGGAGTTTAGCTGGGGTGGGGGGATCTCAGGGTACTTAGGAGTTTAAGCTTGGTGGGCTTGATCTTAGGGTACTTAGGAATTTAACCTGGGTGGGAATTATCTTAGGGTACTTAGGAGTTTAAGCTGGGTGGAGTTTATCTTAAGGTACTTAGGAGTTTGAGCATGGTTGGTTGATCTTAGGGTACTTAGGAGTTTAAGTTGGGTGGGGGTGATCTCAGGGTACTTAGGATTTTAAGCTGGGTGGAGTTGATCTTAGT